CAACGGCGGGGCCACGCAAACCGGCCCTGCGCGGAAAGGTGCCCTTTGGACAGGCCTTGCGATTGCAATGGTCAGAAGTTACTTCACCAATCTTGCGCTTGCAGATGGCGCCAAATCATTTGTCTAGAGCTTTCGTGAGGCTTGATTATGACTGCGCATCACCCTCCTTGCGAGTGACCTAACTGCCCTCATCCAACCTATATGATTCCATTGGCCCGATGGGACATTATGGAAACGTTTGTATGATTTCCATCTAGCAGGCGTTATTAATTGTTGTCAAGCGTGCTCACTACGATGACCTACTTTTGAAGGCATTCGTTCAGATGGACGCTAGAAAGTGGCAAACGAACAGCCTACGATCTGTGCTGGCAGTAGAATGCACGGGGTGGTTCCAGATGTCGGCTCTTGCTTGAGTCACTTGTTTACGCCGAGTTATTTCATCTTTTACAGGTAAAACATAATTTGTTCTCCCGAATTGTTTGGAAAAGAGTGCCACTGACAGCAATTGGCGTACAATATATCATTGGCTTAATGTCTGTTTTGTCCTTACTTATTATTTTTCATTCTGCGGGAGAGTATGCAGACAGCCAAGAGGGGAGGAAGAGCCACTGGAGCGGCTTCCCCTCGAGGCAGTTGACGGGGGGAGGGGTCAGTGACGTAAGAGGGGTCGAGTATCTGGCTGGCCTGCCCTGAACGTCTTATCCTTCCGCCCTCGCTACATAGGCTGCAGAGGGTGAAAAAATAACTGTGGAAACAATTAGCATTTTGGATGACAACCGAAAGATTCACTGTCCTGTTGGTGGCTGCAGCGGCGATGTTGGCCATAAAGAAGTGCCGGCCAGCACTTATCCTCACCTGGACGGAAAACCTGGCATTTATCATCTGCGTACCATCATCTGCCCTGACAGTGGACCCTTGTCTCGAGCCCAATGGTCAGCAACTCTTTTTCCATGGGGTGTTTATCAGGCGGCGTCAACTGCAGGAATTGCTTAGTCTGTCGGAGCCCCCCCCAGCCGAAATTACAAAGCCTTGCTTGTTGGGTCGTATCTGCCACCAGACGCATACTGCGAGACCACTCCGTTCGTCGTAGGCAAGGCCTGAATGTGACCTTTGCACACGTTACTACCTACACAGAAGGCGCACAGCAGTGCGCCTCGAGCACTCAACGTGAACACACCAGTCTGGAAGTTCGCTAACCAGTCTTATTTAGTGGTCTTACTGAAGTGACATTTTATACTTAAGATTTATGCAGTCTATGCGGAGAGGGAAGACTAATTGACATGGGGGAAACTGCCACCGCGGAGTGCCTCGGACGAGGCTCGACGAACACGTCTGGAGATTTTAAGCGCACTGGGGTCCTGTCGAGTGAGTTCCAAAAGTATTTTTTTCCACCCAAGCAGACGGTCAACTACCCGAAGCGAATGAAATAGCGGTCAGGTGTTGGGACCAATCAGTAGAGGCCTGCGCCACAGGCACTGCCCACGTCCCCCCGTCAGAAACCTGTCCTCGCCGGACAACCCGCAACAGCAGCAGCAGCAGCAGCAGCAGCAGCAGCAGCAGCAGCAGCAGCAGCAGCAGCAGCAGCAGCAGCAGCAACAGCAGGGTGGCAACAAAGACAAGGGAGACTGAAGTGGCCATTTAGAGCTTTTTAGGTGTTTTTAATTAGCCTTACACAAACCCAGGTTTACAGCACCTGAGACCCGAACCGGCGTCCTATGGTCGTCGAGCGTTAATAAGTCCAACGTTCCAGTATTTGTTGCACCATCCTTCTGAATGCATTGCTGATGTGATTTGGGCAAGACTAGCCGGCGACGACTAATAAGCCGGAAAGGGTTGTTTCGGGCTCTCTTGTATTGGCCGGCACTCTCCTTCTACATATATTACTAGTCTCTCTGCGACAGCCTGTAAGGACTCTATACTACGGAAATAACATACTGCGTATATCCTGCGCCACTGTGCGGCTGCTCGTTGGGCTCGAGAGAGAGGGAGTCCATAAAGCACAACGGAAATAGTGAGCTCCGTAAGAACGTTCGGTGAGCGTCCCCTACCATTGTATGTTCCCGATCGAAGCCGACGGGGCAACGGACTCGTGGCCCAGTGGTTGGAGGCGTGGACTTCTAACTAGCGGGTCGCGAGTTCGAACCTCGGGTGTTCCACACTTTGGGGTTGGGTATGGCTGGCTGACAACGACTAATAAGCCAGAAATGGCCATTCCAGTCTCCCTTGTCTTTGTCGGTAATAACATACTACTCTACACTAGACCCCGAGACAACTGGGCGAGCATGTCCTGTAATCCGATCGGTGGACACACTTCCAACGCACTACACTATATGCATGCTCGCGAGCTCTCCACGACTGGCTGATCAGCATGACCTTGACGCCTGCATGGTCTACGCTGACCTCGGGATTGAAGTTATTATCAATAGGGGTCTCACCATCTGCCTGTAATGCCGGCTATCCCCACTGAATCCTCATTTGTGAAGATTGCCAGCCTGATTAGGCGAAACAGCGTCCCTGGTAGGCAAAGTAAATTCTTGGTATACATACGGTCTGTTTCTGTTTTTCGGCAGTTATCCCGGACAAATGATCAACCTTATAAACCGGTGGCTCAATGACACAGAATGGAAACGAAAACGAGCTCACCTTTTTAGCAGTCCGCTTGGCGCGGATATGGCATTCCGCCGAAATGGTTTACTGTTAAAAAGACGTGACATACTGCGGAGGTATGTGTTTCACTACAATGGAAAACTTCACGTAGTTAACCTGTGAGGATTTTCCCGTTTCTCGCAGCATGACATTAGAGATTATTATTTAATTGTCATATTTTGCGCCGTTCGTTTTGTGACACTTTTAACTCTCATTTGATAATTCCAGAATCATACACCCGATGTGTGGTCGCGAATTAGATCAGGCCTAATTTTGGCTCAACTTTGAGGAAAAAAGTCGCTTTAGGGCTAACCTCGGGCGCTTGTGATGGAGTCCGGGAAATGTTTTCTGATAACGACCGTATTTCCCCTTTCCGCCGAATTCATGCAATTGGCCGGAGTTAAAGTTCGGCCTGTCAAAGAAGGAGTAAGAATAACAGGATCAAAAAGGAACAGTTTCCTAACGATTTTAAGTCGGTGTATCCGCCTGTTGGAGTCACCTTAACTGGTTGAAATGCTCTGGATTTGGAGAAAGAGGTTAGAGGCCTAGGTCCACAATTTGCTCACAATCAGCCCGCTTTCTGTTGGGATTAGATGCGGATGTTCCGTCAACAGATTCAGACTGAATAATGTCGAACTGTATGCGCATGGAAACCTCGTAGCATTGACCAAAAGACCTTATCTAGATGCGCACAGTCTGCCCACAGTTACATAGCCATCAATTTCGTGTTAATTGGTCTACTTTTCAGCACGAGAGAGTGCGCACAAAGTTTCCTCGCAAAATGGCTCAATGAAATAGCATAGAATAAAAATTGTCATAAATGGTGCCCAAGCGTATAGGAGACATCCAAACTTTCGTGTCACTGCTTGAAGTTAAGGTGATTTATGACCTTAATATCACTTCAATAAACTTCAACACAATTTTTCACTCCTGTATAAAGTCAAACTTTCAGGTCCTGGTTCAGTGGAAACATTCTACACTTGTTGGATGGTTTCATTCGCTTTATTTTTCAACTGACAATTTGCAGTATAAACGCCCGGATAAGAGTCTCCTTGGGCTCCCAATTAGGTTGGGACGAAGGTTCAATGGTGGTCAGGTCACGGTATCAGTCTGGTTTCTCATTAGCTACTGGGTCGCTGGTAAGCTACAGTCGGCGCATGCTTACCCCTATATGAGCTCAAAATGACAGTAGTTAAGCCAGAAGCGTCTGAATGCGCGGCTGGATACCCTGTTCTCCCCGAAAAACATCAGTTCACCTTCTGGCTTCTCAGAACCTCACACTGCTGCCTTAACACCATAGCCGACTGCAAGCACCGAACTTTGTGCGTTCATCAGGTCATTGAAGTTTCGTGCCGTCCGGACAGTTCAAATATACTTTCCTCTCGGTGAAGAATGTTGCCCTGTGCCACCGATCTCTCCAGGGGATGCAGTAATCGGTCTGACGTATTCGTTTTCCTTGTTGTACTTCGTCCGCGACAGTGTTCGGCAAAACCCCTGATGAGCAGATAGCAACGAACTACATATGAAATGTAGTTTTAGGGAACTCTGGGGTGAAATCCTTCATAGGTGTGCGTATATTAATGTTTCTCACATACTTACGGGTCTTCTCGCCTAGGGTTGATAGTTCCTCTCCATCCAGACTCCTTCCTCCTTGAGTCGGTTTTCGAGAGTTATGTTGTTATTTGTCATGATTTTCTACCTCTTCGGGCTTTGTTCGACTTATCTACTGCGGCTTACTCTACGCCAGGTTCACTCTTTTAGACATCTGAAAAAAGTTGAGAATTATTTCAGCTCGTGGATTTTCAGGACATTTGTTTTGGTGTGTACTACTTACTGGGTTGTCGTCACACACGCTGTTACCGCAACACAAATTAATGTATAAAATGTGCCGTATTTCTGGTCCAGACGTGAACAGACGCTGTCAGTGTAGATGAGAAGACCATATTCTGACCCTTGTTATTATTAGATAACATATCGGACAGTTTTATAATAAAACCTTGTTCGCGCTAAAAATTGCTAGTTTTTGCTCTCTCATGAAAAAGTCAGATCAGCTCACTCAAAACTGGCTAGAATTCAGTTGAAATCAGGGGACCTTTTAACCGTGGGGCAGACTGTGCGTTAAAGGTAACAGACTGCGGTTGTGGGACTGACTTTATTTTGCCTACCTGTGATTTGATAATATTTTCGTCCCAAAAATATGTTAATCAAAGCACATTACGGCGAAACGTGCGTCCCGTTTGCTGCACTTAAGCCACTCGGCCAACAGGACACCTCAGACAGAACTGTGCCAATACTTTATTTAAACGCTCCCCATATGGTGCAGTACACGAAACCTCATTGTCGACAGCGTTTAGTTAAATTAAAATATCGGTAGAGTTGGGTACGATATCGAACAAACTTCCATCATCATCATCATCATCATCATCATCATCATCATCATCATCATCATCATCATCATCATCATCATCATCACCACCACCACCACCACCACCACCACCATCATCATCATCATCACCACCACCACCATCATCATCATCATCATCCGCATCCTTCTCATCCTCCTCCTCCTCCTCCTCCTCCTCCTCCTCCTCCTCATCATCATCATCATCATCATCATCATCATCTTCATTTTATTCTTCTCTCCGCTTCGCCCTTTTTGCACGCTTTCCTCTCTGGTTACCCGCGCAACTTTGTCAACCAGTGCATACGAAAAGGACACCAGAGACCAAATCCAACCGGCCCCAAATTTTGGCGGGCTCTTCCGTACGTGAGGAACGTCTCAGAAGCCGTCAGTCATCTTCTCACTCCACTTTGAGTTGGGGTTGCACACAGGCCGGAAGCGACCATTAGGCGCCAAGTCATGAGGCCAAAAGACCCGCTGCCACGGAAGGAAACGTCTGGAGTCGTTTACCGGATCTGGTGTAGTTGCGGACAAAGCAATTATGTCAGAGAAACTGGGAGATTACTCTGTACGCGAATTGCCGAGCACGCAGCAGCAGTGAGGCGGGGAGACGCTAACTCTCAGGTGGTGGCACACTCGACGGGACCCGGACATATTTTCAAATTTCAAGAGGCCAAACTCCTCGCAAGGAGTGAAAACCGCGTGAGCCGCGAGCTGCTCGAGTCATGGTTCTCGGGCCCGCAATCCATCAACAATTAACGACTCGGACTCGGACCGACAAGCCACCACCGCATAAATTACGACCCCAGAGGTGATTGCGAGAACTGTTAATTGCAGTGCGCATACGGTCCCACGGCAGCCACGTGCTATAAATACTGCACTCCTGTTGCCACCATCACCTTCATCTGCGAATAACTCTGATGATGGATTCGGGTGAGAATCCGAAACGTCAGGCAAATAAGTTTCTTGTTCCAGTGATCGCATCTTCATCTTCTGAGCTTTCCTCTATGTTGAATCCTCTTCCTGCAGGTAGTTCGTACGCTCTTATATCTCCCTGTTCTTGCAGTTTTCATCGTCTCCTTTTCAACTTCTCCCTCTTCATCCTCTCAAACATACCTTGATCTTTATTTATTTCCCTTCTTCTTCCTTTTCTTCTTCTTCTTCTTCTTCTTCTTCTTCTTCTTATTACTATTACTATTATTATTATTATTATTCAGCCACCCTCTGTGCGAGCCCCCGCACCCGCCCACGTTTCGTGTGTTTTCTCCCACTCCCGTTTGCTGATCCACTCATTGCGTTCCCCTTTTCATTTTCTCCTTCCTCGTATTTGTCTTTCCCATCTTTTTTACTATCCTCCCCTCTGCTTTCCCTTGCCTCCTTCAGTCTGTTCCTTTCCTCGCCCTTATGTGTAATTGTTTTAATTTTTAAAGCTTCTCCTGTATCCTTCTATTCTACGGAGATTCTGATGTAACGCAACTGTGGCCAGAGAGTTGTTTGAAACTAACTAATCACCAAGGCCTGCATTTGCTGTCACACTGCTTTAGGCGCCGGATGTTGGCGCCTTCCGGGCAAAACCTGCGCAGATTCCTACTGCCGAAACTTTCACATAGTCCTGAGCGGAGAGACCAAAATCACACCCTGCATTTTTTCTCTCTCTCCATGTTGGAGCCGTTCTAATGAATCAATGCCTCAGCTAATTGTGCTCCGACGTTAGCGTGTAGAAAAACTACCCCTTCCAGTCGGCACAAAGTTTTTTAGCACTCACTGTGATGCT